GGACTCCCATAGCCGTGAGTAATAACTTTAACCACCCACACTTGAGTAATGGATATGTATACTTACACATAAAGCTACTGCTTTAATACAAAACTCATTTTAACCTCACTTTCCATAAATGATTCTTAAGTATTCGTGCTCAGCTTTTTCTCACACTCATCTTGCATTTATTTAACACTCCAATCATCCCATATTTATCGGTTCTACTTTCTAGGTGAAACAAATCATGAAAACACTCTGCGATGTGTTTATTTTACTAGTTTTATGAATCGTTTTATAGCCAGAGGAGCACATTCTATGTTGCAATAAAATGAAATATATTAGAGAAAATTATTAAGAATTTATTGAAGATTTATTTTAAATTGTTTAAATGAAAGTTTGACTGTAATATCAAATATTTGAATTTTTAGATTAGAAAATTGACTATGAATTATTTATAACAACACTTGATGAATTAATAAACATTCGTTTTGCAACTTGAAAGATTTGTGCACAATTGGGCGAAGTAAAAATAGGAATAGAGCTAAAAATTACGGCTGCGCATGCACACAAATCAGTTTTCTTTTATTATCATGCCAGTGGGCATGCGCAGCCGTAATTTTTAGCTCTATTCCTACTTTTATTCTACTGAATTGTATAAAAAGCTTTAATTTTTTAGTAATTGCTAATTTCATTCAATGAATAAAAAAAGATCTTATTTTTTAAAAATAAATTATTACATTGTAATTCTGAACTTATTTCAATATTTATTTCATCTTTATCCACATACACGAAAAATCATGGAAAATAAAGAAAATAAAATATAAATACCATGTTATAATAATTATGTGCTCTGACTGTATAATTTTATGATAATTCAACTCAAAGACGAAAAATTTAAATATGTCCAAACTTCATCTTACACGAGAAACAAATTCGTTAATTTATTTTCAGGTATCATACACTTGCTGTTTTTTTTCAATATAGTTAATAATAGTTTATTATAAAAAACCCAAAATTGAAGACAAGATTTTCAAAAATTGGTAATATGATTTTAAATAAAATACTTTAAATATACGAGAGATAATAAGATGAGACTTTCAAGTAAATCGTCTTTTGCATGTAAACTCTCAAGAAAAAAGTTATCTTGGCAAAAAAACTTTTTTGTTACTTTAAAATGGTTTTTTGTAATTTATTAAAAAGATTTATTACGTGGATTTAAAATATTTATTAATATTTGTTAATTTAAGATAATTATTTTGATTAAATATTTAAGTAATAGCAATTAAAAAAAATATCTAATTTAAAAATATATTTTTTATGTTAAAATGAAAGATTTAATGAAATAAATTTCTTTTCAAAATTGAGCTCAGCTTTTCATAAATAGCTCCAACACATTTATCGTTCATTGCAAAATTATTTACCTCTATGATTCATAAAACTGCAGCCATAACTTCTTATATTTATATAAAAAATCAAAGAGTCGACTATAAAATTAATATAAGATAGTGAAATTAATTACTTTTTGTTACAAAAAATAGTCTGAAATTATTTCTTAAACAAAAAAAATAATTTTTAAATAAACAAATTGATTGACATAAATTTTCAATTATGGTATCCGATCATGTTAATTAACATTAAAAGAGAGAAATCCAAAAAGAACTACTTAATAAATATATTTATTGAGAAATGATTGTTTTTAAATTGCATTTTTTGAATAAAAAATGAAATATGTTGCAGTAAATATCAATTCTCTGAAGAGCTTTAACCCATGGCTACAAATCAAAATTCAAATTCCTACTTCGTGGGAAGAAACAAATTGTAAGATGCACTCAGTTCTACGAAAATGAACGTTCAAAAATGACTCCAATTTACTAAAAAAAATGAAGACTCTTTAAATTCGTTATATCAAATTAGAAAACAGTTTAAAATGGAATATATTCCATTTCTATAATTGATTTATAGCACTTCACACTTAATATATTTAATCAGTTTTACATTTTATACTCAACTTTCAACCACTTAACGTATTTCACTTGAAAATATTCAATTTTATAATCAACGAGAACGAAGTTTTTCTCATAAACGTCGAACAGATGATTTACAGTTCAATAATTAGACAGAGTAATTAAAACTTTAACTACTTTCACATTCTCTAATTCATTTATGCAATAAAAAAGTGAATTTTATACCAAAATTGAAAAATAAAATTTCGTAACACTTTTTTATTTTCAATTGAGTCAACGACTTCACGGAACTCCTACTGGCCGAACTACTTTCCAGCTTTACCTGTTCACACCATTATAAATGTTTTTTTTTCAGCGACCGTGGATATATTTAAAATAGCAATCAGGAAGTATTTACATTTGCATGTGAATCTGAATTTATTTCAGTTACCTGATTATTTACTATATTTATTTGTTATTTATTATTACTAAAGAGATAGTAAATAAGCTTTAATGTGAGAGCTTCTTTGTTTCTTACAGTCTGGAGCGATCAGAGTGAATAATCTTTCACGGATCACTTGGTGTCGCGACGCGTAGGAGGTCATAACGGGTGTCCAAAAGGTTTATTCACCAAGATTGCAAGGTTGAAGTTGCATCGTTATGCATGATATTCACAAATAATCAGATGTATTCAAGAGTCATGTCGTGACTGAATCACAGACAGTGACGAATCATCGTAAGACTTGATAGCCTTGAGATACTGCGTTACTTTGCCATCACTTTTGGTCACTCTCGAAATACACAAATTATTTTATGGTAATTTATAACAATACTAAACAAGAGGAAAAGTGCAATGCTGGTAGTAAAAGTCCTGTGCAAGATACCTGGGTTCAAGAGCTAAGTGTACATGATCTGAGAAAACGTTTAAAACTTGAGCAATAGGTACTCAACGTTATTTTTGCAACTTGTATTGACTAAATAAAAATGTAAAATAAATAATCACCATTATCCAGTAAATGACTTGTTCGTAAAATATTACTAATAAGAAACTCTTAAGCTTATTAATTACAACTTAGTATTGCTTGAGATTAGAAAGCAATGTCAACATTACACTTATAAAGTATCAAATAGCTTAGAATTAATTTTTATGCACTGGTCATTCAGTGGGTAATGATGGTCATTCATTGGGCATTTTACTCTATAACAGCTTAGGTCTTATATAAAACTTGAAAATGTTAATCTCGAAATTAATTATGCGAAAATTAATCTTATAAATAAATTGATCTGTACTTAATGTAAGATGGAATATTTAAAATAGTATTATTATGAGTAATAACAAAAATGAATTTATAGCAACAAATGGAACAGACAATATTGATGTAACCCTAAAAATCTACATCAACGAGTTCCTAGTAGATAATGAGATAGAAAAATTATGAAAAAATGAATTATTACCTAATAAAGATTTCTTGATTTCGTTTTTTGAAATTACAATTAAAGTAGAAACCAGTACAAGTGGGAGCTGCTAAATTGGTGTTATTATCCAGTCATGACCCAGTAATGGAAAATGATTGGGCCGATACTAGTTATAGTAGCCAATGATCGGCCTATTGTTTAATCCTGTTCGGGAATCATTAATATAAATAATTTTAAGGACATCCGTTCATCTTCGTTATTGATTAGTATTTTAGCTCAACAGAAAATAACTAAATTCAATTTTATTCTTGTAATGTTAAAATTAACGTATCTTAATTAAAATTAGAATGCAATCAATGTCATTATTATTTGCACAATGCCGACAAATTATACTTTTATTATCATTATTTGATAATAATATTTTGATAGTAAATAATCTATCTATTATTTAGGTTCAATATATTTTAATTGGAAAAAATATCAAAAGTAGATCCATAAGTGCATCACGTTGATCATCCAAAATATACGACAATCACAATTTTATTTACGTAATCTCAATGTGCAAAACCGCAAAGATCAATACCCTTTTCATTTGATGCATTTATATGGACCCAATATAATAATTTATATCATTTAAGCATCAGTGTAAAGAAAAAGCAACAATGAAATCATCACAAACAAACTTTATGTTTTAATGAAGAATGATTTGAAAACACTTTAGGCTCCAACAGAAATGTTAAAAAAGCAGGTGATCATTTGAGAGATCCAAATTAGGATATGGTTGTGCTGCATGGATGTTGATTTCTCAAAATGATTGCAGATAAATTCGAAAAATAATTTATAAAGTCTTCTGTCAATAATAAATTCAATAAAAATGACATTACGATATTCATATATTATTTTTACTTCTTTCTAATAGATGATGGCTAGACATTAAAAAGGCTTAAATCTACTGATTTATAATACAGAAATAACTCACAATTTTCATTATAATTTTTTATTATAGTAGCTTTTCAAATTATGAAGAGTATTCATTCTCTTAAAGATATTTAATTGATCAAACATTTAAATACTTTTCAAAATATGCTGGAGATTGAAAGTTTTTTTGTCAAAATTCATGTTAGTAACTTTTACTTTTCTTTAACAAAAGTAAATGATCCTTAGGTATTAGTTAGACTTATTTATTACAGACAAATAACTCGGACCTCTAGTAAATTCTAAATTCGAGCATTCATCAGTACTGATTTATGAACTTATTGATCATGTTTTAATAATCTGCAAGTCATATGTGTATGATAAATTTCAGAGTCTCTATTAGTATCTTGAACAAGTTTTTTACTACCATTATTACCTCTCCTATTGTTATTTGCATATGTCATCGATGACTTGTTATTATTCTCTAATCATTTGAATAATAAACTGATCATTATATTATATAAAAATAGACGTCGAAATGCATGTTATGCTTAATATATATTTAATATTATGTAAATGCTTTCTACTTCAAAGCATGAATGGAAAACATTCCGTGACTATTTTTGGAGTAAAACCAGTATGACCTTGAGCTATTATACTAAGATGACTGAAGGGAAACAGCAAAAAAGTTGAAGTAATATAACGAAACATGATGTGCATGCCAATTAAATAATTATTACTCACCATCATTATTATTGATTCCATCAGTCTCTTCAGTAGTTGATACGTCAGATAATTGCTTCGCTTTGTTAGAGGAATTTGCATCGATTTTGCTTATTTCTGGGTTACTGGAATCATTAAGAGATCAAGAAGTTATTTCAAAATATTTAGAAAAATAGTTAAGCAGTGAATGAATGAAAAAATTAATTAAGTTAAAAAATTGGTACCTTTGTAGATTTCTTTCATAATTGTTTTATGAATATTTATACTCATTTTAATAAAATTATTAATTTCGATATAAATTTATCATTAGTTGATCGTTTTTATGATAATAAATCTTCAATAAGGTTTATCAATGATTAGGTTATGTTAATGATTTCCTAATTCGCAAACGTTACTATTTGTTTATGTGTAAGAAAAAAAATCTCACATGCATTTTAAAAGCCAATTATTCATAATTGATAAGTTTCACAAGTTCATGACTGTAATTGACAAGGTATTTATTATTTAAATTTCGATGATTAATATTTCTGAATAGTCGAATTACGTCTTTTATTTTTATGTCGGTGCAGTTTCTAATTAAAGTGTTACAATTAAATTGAGTAATTGTACAAAATTACACGTTTCGAATTCTGAAAATAATCTTTTTCTTCCTTGCCTAGTTAAACAGACCAATTTTCTCTTTAGATTTAGTAGAAGACTTCTCAAAAAGATTTTTTCAGTGAATATGCGTGCATACTGCCAACGCGATTACCCACGCGAAAGTCATGTCGGTCATAAAAAAAGAAGTTAACAAGAAAGGAACAGAAGAGAAAGATTGATTGTTTTAATTTTCAAGTTTTCTGTTCAACTGTAAAATATATCAGTGTTGTATCAATACAGAGTCCAACAAATGGGCGTGTGAATCCTAAATGATTACCAAGCTGTCGACTTTAAGTGTTCAATTAACCTTTTCCCTCGAATACTGTAGCCATATTGGATACTGAGTAACCTACATTCGTGAGACAGACATTTCACTGCAAGCTCGGCAAAAAATTATCCGGCATCTCTTTAGTCAACGTTGCGATATTATCTTAAGAATAATCGATTTCCGATGCCTTCCTGGGCGAGAAATGAATCTGTAGGTGTTGTGTGAATGAAAAATTCATTTCTCTTACGAGATTGCACAAGTAAGAACCTGCTGAGGGCAATGTACGAGTGATCGACATGCACGTGTTTTTAAGTCTCGTGAGAGAATTAATGTGAAATCACTTCTATTTTACGATAATATGAACAACATAACATGGTAGGAATTTCAAAAATGCAACAAGAAATCTCACACGAGCAAACTATTTTATTCAACATTTTTTTCTTAATTATTATCTGCAGCATGTAACTTACGATTTTATCAGCGTGACTATAAATTACTAAGTCGTCGGTAAAATTCTGTCCCATATACCTAGAAAATTTATCATTTGTGGTATGTGTGCACGGAACTTGTCATGACATTTCGTGATAAATTTTGTAACTGTAGTGTGGATACTAATAATTAATTTGTTCGTGAATTATTTTAATAACTAACAATAATTAATCTTATCACTGAATAAATTACTTAGTCATATTGTATTTATGTGAGAAAACATCTGTAATTTTTTTTCTTCTAAAAAAAAGTATGTATCAATTCAATTTAATTAATTGTTCAATTGATTTGAACAATCATTTTTAAAAATATTCTCATGAAAAATTTTGTGATCAAATATTTAGAATTTTAACACTAATTATGAAAAATGCAAAATTCTGGACATTTACTATTTTATTTTTTGAATATTTTTCTGCTATCACAAACAACTTGATAGTTTTTTTAAATTATCAAAGTAAATTTTTTAAATTAATTTATGCCAATTAAAATAATCTAATGATAACAATAATTATTAAAAAAAACTTCCCTTGAAATAATTTTAACTCAAAATACCTTCAATTGTGTGTTGAAAAAATTATCTATAAAAAAACTAGTTATATTTAACATTATTTTTAAATTTGCCATTGAAGTATTTAGATTACTTTTTGATGTGATATTTACTAACTTTCCTACTTTTATAAAACTAAAAATTATTCATTCAACATTTACTTACACACTTGTATATTCTAAAGAAGTCACTTCATCCTCTTCTCCAATTGTTGCTAAATTACTCTGCCAGTAATAATCGTTTCCTGTGTCATCACTGTCTGAACTCGAATCAGTCTCTTCCGTCTGTCTAATATTATTGATTGTACCATTTAAATTTGATAATTTTTTATCATCTAGAATACATTCCAATGATTGATAAACCTCATCATCCTCGGTATCAACTGATGAATCAGATTCTTCAGCTCTTCTATCATGTTTTATGTCTTTCAACTGTATATCATCATTATCTTGGTACTCTCGTGCTTCTTCCCAATCATCATCAAAACTATTTACAAGCTTTCCGATTTCTTTTTCATCATTAATTAAATTGTTGCATTCTTCTTTTGATAGGTTACTATTAATATTGTTTTCACTTAGCTTTAAATCATTTGCATTGCTCTCATTAGCTTTACATTTTTTTGTTTTAACATCTTTTAATACTGAAGAATGACCAATCACTTTTGGTGAACTAGCAACACTCTTTTTTTCATTAATTTCATTTTTATTTTGCAACTTAGTAGAATCCTTAAGAGCCTTCACTGTCTTCATTTCTATAATTTCAAGAACTTTATTTGTAGTTGGTGAAGAAGACAATTCATTATTGCCAGAATAATTATTTATAATTATTTCATGAGATTTAGATTTATCACAGTCAACTTTAATTAGACTTTCATTCGTACATATTCCATTCATCTGCTTTTGATTATTATCAAAAGATCTTGATGAGGATTCGATAGGTTCTCTTTTCTTTGAACTTACTGCTTTTGATGATGCAATTTCATCCGATTCTTTTGATTCTTGCAAAAGATTCGTTGAGATTTCAACAACAGTTACATCTTTTTTACTTTCGGATTCACCTGGTTTTGATTCCAAGTTCCGTATTGGCACTGGAGGAGGTAACTCTCTCCTAGGCGTAGGAGGAGGTGGCGGAGGAGGCAATCTTTTACGTTTTAACTTTGTATCTTTCCTTGGAAGAGGTCTCGGTGGTAAAAGTGGTTCATTTGTTTCACAATTCATCTCTTGAGTTCTCTCATTAAGTAATTTTACATCCACTTGTGTAGATGCGTCATCATTTTGATTCACAGAAATACAATTAATATGATTCCGAGCTGGAAGTGGAGGTGGTACCCGAACGTTTGTATTCAAATCACTTACATCAAATTCACTGTCACCAATGATACTTTCTACAACTGAAATGTCATCTTGGATTGGACAAAAATGTGTCGAAGAATCAGCAGTTAAGAATATTCCAGGTCGAGCTTCGTGTCCGTAACTTAGTGGAGCATCTTGGAAACTCAATGGTGGTTGCAACGTTAAAGTCTCCTCGATCACGACTGTATTAGGTGCTACAACAGCAGTTATTTTTTCTACAACTGCTCCGGCTTCTCCTCTTGACTCTACATGAGTTACTGCTTCTGAGTTGGCTAGACGTTTAAGCAAATAATCTGGTGGATTTGAACAAAAGTCACGATCTAGCTGTTCAAAAGATTTTAAAAGTTCTTGTGAGGTTTCTTTAAATTGATTAATTTCTGCTTGTTGATCTTCAATGCGTTCTTTTGAAGGAGATTCAAGAGGAAGTTCCGATGTTGATATCGTTGATGTTGTAGAAAATCGATCGGAACTAGAAAATCGATCCACCACAGTTGAAAGTGAACTTCCTGTATCATCGGATGTGCTCCCATGTGTGCTTGATCCATCTTGAGATCGAGCATCTAAGTAAACCATTGCTTCCGGTGGTTCCTAAAAATGATTTTAAGTTATAAAATCGAATAATAAAGAAGAAAATATTATTATTTTTCATTAGAATAAAAATATTATAATAAATACGATAAAAAATGATGTACCTTGAGTTTAATGGCTTCCGTTGAAAGTTCTTTTGATAGTTTTCTTGGGCTTTCATTCTTAACATTACTCATACTTTTTGGTGATGAATTATAGTTGTCACGTGGAGTAGGTTTATTATTAGATGCTCGTAAACTCGATTGTGCATTCATGGATGATTCATTCCCATTCTGTTGGACTTTTTTTATCGGACTAGGATTAGCTTCGCCATCTGCTGAACCTCGAACTTGTCTCAACTTCCTTGGTGGGACTGGTGGAGGAGCAGAGGGTAATTCTGGAGGTATTTTCTTTTTTTCTGTCGCTGATTTCCGTTCGGCACTCACAACTTCCGGTTTTAATGCACCTCGATATCTTACAAGTAATTTTATCACTAGCTGGGATTCTTTTAGCTTCCTTACACAGTCTAAACGGCTCATATGCTTTACTGGCACCCCATCAATACAGAGAATCTGCAATAAAATGTTCCATAATTACTATAATTATTCAAATTTATGAAGTATTTGATTTACCTACTTTACATGTGTTTTTTAAATTAAAATATTTTATAATTAGAATGTATGTAGATATTTCAACATATTTATGAAGATGAATTATTTTTAAATCATAATTTATTGTATTATCTGTTCTTAAATCGTTTTTTAGTGATGATATTCCACATATAATCATTAGTTTTATTGACTTTGTGAATATATAATTATTTCAAAGTAATTAGGCTCATAAATATTTAAACTGTGTAAATAATTGTTTATTGATCTATAATTAAATCTCACAATAAATTCCATTGTAGTTAATATATTTTTATTTATTTTATTATTAGATATTTGATTGAGCAAATGTGAAAATATATTTATGGGAACTTCAGTTATTATTTCCTTTCATTACTATTCATTACTTTTATAAAACTTGATTATTTAACCTAATCATTTCCTGATTAAATAGTCATAAATTTAAAAGTAAAAAAAGGACATCAATTTACCTCATCTCCTTCTCCAAGTCCACCCCACGAACATTTAGCACGACTAGCTGGACTGTGTTCAGCACAACTCTGGACAAAAAGTCTTCTCACTCTTTCTGCGGTTTTATTCCCACCTTCAAACTTAAGTCCAAAGCCCAGACGTTCACCAGGAAGCCTGTAGACTTCAACTTCCTCTTCAAGGTATGTATCAACATTATTAGGTGAATTTGAGAAATCTTTCTTTCCACTCTGACCATTTCCAATTGATAATACTGTTACAAAGTTTTCAATTTTCGGTTGATTTCCCACGCTAACAACAGTGACAAATTCTTCTGATCCATTCTTCATTGTTTCCATTCTCCACTTGCTGTTTCTACTCTACCTCTGCATTTGATCTTATACTTTGTCGATATTGTATCTTGGAATGTTAAACTTTCGTTGCCACTCCCTGAAAAAAAAGCATACCAATGTAAGGTAAGTATGAAAAATTAGTGACTCTTGAATAATCACAAAAAAAAAGATAAATTGATAAGCTAATTATAAAAAAATTGCTTTCTTATATTGAATGAAGCTATTGAATTTTTTTCTAGTAAATGACTGTACTTTAATATGATAGCAAAAAATATTATCTCGATCATAATTGACATTCTTGAGGGAAAGTGTTCTATAGGAAATAGTTTGCTAAAGAATAAATATTTATGATAAAAAGATGATGTTTCAATGAAAAAACTATTTTTAATAATAAAACGAAATTGTTGGGTATAGTTTCGATTAGGGGACAATTCCGATTTGTTTTAAATTTCTCTACGTATTGACCTCAATTAGTAATAAAAATTCCCAAAAGGTTTTTGGGAAAAATACACTATAAATTGTATATAAGGGTTTCAAATTTTAATCATAATTAGCCTTTTTTTTGTGATCATACCCAAAAATGCAAAATGTATTTATTTGATGTATACATCAAGATCAAGTAAGTTCTATGTGATTTTTAATAACTATAATAATTTTTGCACTAAAAAAATGTATAGCTATAGAAACAATATCGATAGCCTTGAATTAACTATCTCCTCACTGTAAATTTTAGTGTTTTATTTCAAAACATTAAAAGTGTTTTAATATGACGTCACTCATTTGATTAACATTATCTCGATTTTAAAGCACTTAAAAACGTTTTAAAATCGAGACAATGTTAATCAAATGGGTGATGCCATATTAAAACACTTAATGTTTTAAAATAAACCACTAAAATTTACAGTGCTTAGATAGCTGTAGGAACTATTCAGATAATCGATTAACGATACACTGATAGAAGAGATTTGTAATAATAAAAGAGGCTTCTTAACTGTTAAAAAATATTCCTTTACAATAAAACGAGATTTATTTATTTATTTATTTATTATAAAATCACTAATGTGTTCATAACTAAGGCTTTTTTATTGTTATAAAATATTTCTTAATAGTTAAAAAACATTGATTTTAATAATAAAAAAAAAGTTTTTTAATAATAATAAATCTCTTTTATTAGTGTATCTAAACTTATTGCTTTAGATAGATATTTTTCGCAGTTATTTCAAACATTATCGGTTTAGCATTGTTCAGAAATTAGATTACAATAAATTTCATTTTTTGAAGTATTAATAGTCGGGCCCCTCGACGTTAGTTTAAAACACTTTAAATGCATTGAACTAAAACACTACGATTTGCAGTAAAATATTTGATTGTTCTTTATTATGATCACTTTGCAAAAGTTCTAAATATAAATCAATTCATTGTTTTTATTTAATCATTTTTCAAAAGTTTTTCTATATTAAAAACGAATTTTATGAATATGCAAATTACGACAACTTGCTCTGTAAAACTCTTTGGTATGCAATGAATTAATAATCGGATACAATATAATCAAGTAATAATGTGGGCAGTGAAATGTTGAATAACGGTAATAATAAAGTCAATTCCTAATAAGTTAACTTAAAGTGAATGAATGTAATGAAAAATTTGAATAAAACTATTTGATATTATGATAAAAATTATATTTAAAAATCATTAAATAGCACCAAGTGAGAAGATTATTTTTAATTTCAATATGAATTATGATCAATTGAATTAATCAAATAGTTATAAAAGTGTGAATATGTAAAGGAAATATTTTTATATCATGAAGTCGACTATAAATGCGTATGCAGTTGATGCGAATATTCATTAGAATAATTATCTAGCCTGTTTATTAACACTTAAGACACGTTTTTGATAACAGATCTTGCTTGTATGAAAGTTTACATTTAACTAACACGTTACAGTAGTTCCTTTTCGCGCAGTCATTTGAATTAAGTTAAGATATTTATTTTTAAAAAGGGTAATCTTATGACACCAACATCGTCTAGAGGATTTTTCTTTAAGCTCACATTAGATAATTACATGCTTTTACTTTTAATCCCATGGTTTATAATTTGATACTAACACGTGGATACATTGAATAATTGTAGTATACTATTGAACATAATTGAATCGAATTAAGCGCGAGAGAGTAAAGGTGAAAAATGTAATTAAATCAAAAGTAACAGGTGTGTTTATTTTGAAAGACTTTTTTTTACTGTTAATTAGTGCTATAGATAGATCTTATATTAGTTCTAGTAAGTGAATTTAATCGGTAGTAAAAATGATAGTGAAAATTATTTACTGTTAATGAATATTTAAAATAAATGTCATGATTGTAAATTTGTGTAAAAATATGTGAAGTAATAGCACATTTACTTTTATTACCAATACTTATTTATAACGACGGATTTCATTAGATAAATCCTTTTTTTTTAATCGTTCTTAGATTACTTGAATTTTTTTAAAAATTGTGAATTAAGAAATTACTTAATAAAAGTAATTATTGTTATTAAATGTGCAGTATTAAAGTAGCAGTAAAAAATTTAGATTGAAAGAAGGCTAGTAGGCTACAACATATATAATATAATAGAATTATATGTTGTGGTGAATAAAATGCATCTTTATCGCTGTAATATTAACATTCAAGTCGTTTTCCATACGTGAGAAAATTTTTGATGAAGATTTAAACTATTAGATAAAGATAAACTTAATATAGGAATTGTAATTAGGTTGTTGTGAAAAATTTTTCCTAAAATAAATACCAAGGTAGTTATATCATTTAAAATCTATCTGAAACGAAAATATTCTAATGCAAATGGAATTGCAAGACAGGAATCGCAAATTATAGTTGTATAAACAAAATACGTGTAGAGGAGAAGGTAAGATTATGGTCCGGTCTCTAATATGGTCCACTAATTTATTTTGCGAGCGATAATTAAACGGAGTATAATGTAATTGAGTAAAAACAAAAAGTGGCCCATAATCCTACCTTTTCAATGGGTCACAAAATAAACTAGTGTACCATATTAAAGACCGAACCATAATCCTATTTTCTCCTCTATTAATAAATATATTGATAATCAATTTGGAATCAATAAATTTTCTGTATAAGATATATAATCTCAATTTAATACTGGTAACAAGCTCCAATAACATAAAGATGGCCTGATTAGGTTTGCAAAACATTCTAATTGGAGATATTTTTTATGAAAAACAAATATCAACAAAATTAATTTCAGATGTCTTTCGTCACAAATATCTTGAAAATAAATAATGACATCGATTTTTGATTAAGTATGTTTTTTAATTTTTATTTACTAAATTTAATATCACTAAAAATCTTTAATGCTACAAAATGGGAAGCTGATTGTGTTGATAGACCAAATACACCTTGACCTATTTTCATTATTTTTTTGGTTCAGGATTTAAGGTAAGTTTCCTAATACCAACCTAATGCCTGAAACTGACCGTTATGTTTCTTTGTAAATATCTACTCAAAAAATAAATTAAGAGATTGTTTTTTAAATTACATGCATAGATTGATTCTTAAAGTTTCATCTCCAACCCAAAAAAACTTGTGAATATTTTCTCAATATTGATAAAAAAAATACTAAAGTGGTCGGTATTTGGTACTTTCACCTGAAATCAATTTAAAATACTACTTAAAAATATTTTATATTTTATAATTATTTATTGATAGTAATTATTATTGAATAAGTTAAAAAGAAATAATTATACCAAAATTAACAGAGGTTTAAAAAGAATTGAAATATAGAACATAAAATGTTGATGAGATGAAGAATATTTTATAAAATATTCTTCACCATTCTGGAGAACTTAACACATTTTTAATCCAACTTTAAGAGTTAAAAAATAAATTATTACTTATTTATATTTTATAAATAAATTCTGGTTGATCATTGATACGTATATAAATTATAAAAATATACATTATTACTGCTTGCAAATAACATTGACCAAATGCATCTGCTGAATATTAAATAGAATATGAGACCAATTAAAATTCATCAAACGGCTATAAATCACATGTAATATCACGCCATGATTTATCATTAATGTTTTTTGTCTTAGTAAATAACGAATATTAAGCTTTAATTAAAAATAAAATTACACTTATGATATAATGAGTTCAAATTAATAAATTGATTTATTTACTGATTGACACATATGAGTTGTAGCTAATAAATACAATTTTCAACAAGTAAATAATTCCATTCAATACAAACATTTATTTTTTATTGTATATAAATAAAAATGTAATGTTTACAGACTTTGAATTTATATTCAAATTCATTATTTATTTTGTGAATTGAAAAGTTAGTTTTTTTGTTGTATTTTGATCTCAAATAATATTTTGTATTACCAAGATACATTCATGTTTACGATCTTTTTTCATTGAAGAGATTTAATACATATACTTAAAAGTGCACCAATATATATTTAATGAATACGATGAATAGACTTTTCAAAAATTTACATTATAAAATCCGGTTTTACTTCAAGAGAAACATCCAATACTTTTCATCCAATATAAATTCATGGCAGGTCGAAGGTTTTTTCGCTTCGGGGTGAACGCTGCGTTGCTATGCAGTATACCACCAAGAGTTTTCACTCGTAAGTATATTATATTTATATCTACATCGATGCGTCAGGTATGTATTGATATGATCAAGTATGTGAAAGTATGCTACTGCCATCACGAACTTGAAGATGAGCCTTTTCTTACTTTGGTCATTCTTCCTTATAGCGATTTCCACTCAAGAATGCGACAAGTAGAAAGTTGATTAACCCTACGGACCAATGCTTAATAGTCAGTTCAACTAGAAGTTGAAAAGTTCCTTTTTACCTATCTTCTGCAATGAAATGTTTTCGTTTTTCATTTAAATTTTTTACTTTTTTTTATAAATAAAAAATGAACACAACAAATATTACTTTTTTAAAATAGTAAAGAAGTAAATGTTTATTTTTTTAAAATAATTTTTAGTGATTTCTATTAATTTATTGTCAAACAGTATAATTTTGAATATAGAAAAAAAATTGAAAAAAAGAGCT